ACTTTCCATAGTAATAGTGATAGAACAGTGATAGACTCACCATATCTCACCTGTGAGAGAGATGTTGGACAGTAGAAAATAATTCTTCTCCAACAAGAAGTTGGAGACATTTTTTAACTCTATCAAGACTGGTAAGTAAGGGCTGAGCAGCTCCTGCCCATGACAAATAAATGGAATAAGGAATATATTTAATCTCAGAACTTTAAAAAATGAGAGTAGAAAGTATTTGGTACAAAGCTAAGTCAGTTAATCTAAACTGTCATTGTATAATATTTGATATGAAACTTTCATTGTATAATGTGGAATCTCTGGATGTGCAGCTCATGTGACAGTTATTGTGAGTGAAAGTGGAATCAGAATACAGAGTTCAAATTCCAGCCTAGTTTGCTGTCTTCACTGTTGTACAAATGACCTTTAGAAAGGAATCAATCTATTTCTCCTCCTGACATCTACAGGTTAAATTGAGCCTTAGGTGACAGCCAGTCTAAGAAAAGTACAACTCGGAATGCAAAACTGTGGAGACAGCAATGGGAAAACTAATCCACTATCTTTCACAAGAAGTCATAGCAATTAAAGGATAATAAATAGAAAGGAATATGTGGAGGGCCATAATCATCTTTATTTTGAAGGGATATAACAAAATTAAATATGTATAATTCATATGATTATTGGAAAAGTGTTGAAAAATAAATATTTGTTGGGCAAAATAAATATATATTTGTGATAAAGTAATTGAGAGTAATCTCCCTTGTTTTATGATTACCTCCCATTGGAGAACTCTTTCTCGTTTGTAAAGGACTGTAAGTAGTCACTATGCTGGTATTAATTATTCTAAACAGAATAAAGCTTCCTTAAGCCTATTCTCTTTAGTTATTACAATATTTTTTTTACCATCAATAGTTAACAGAGCTCCACATATAGAAGAACCCAGAAAAGGGTTGATAAACAATACAAAAACAAATCAACCAATTGACTACCCATCTGGTTCACGTTCCCCACCAGTCTTTTGAACAGGAGTAGAGGTTTATTCTTTGTTTTTTGTTTGGGATAGTGTTTCCGGTTCCTTCTCCTAAATTCTTCTCATTCTATTTCACTCACCGGAACCCCCTCCATCTTAGTGGCATTATCACCTTTTACTCTATAATACTTGGTATATATAAATAATAAAAAGACATTATAGATAGGTTTACCTATTGCCTGGTTCACATTCCTTCTTTGTTTTTGAACAGGACTAGAGGTTTATCCCTTGTTTTCAGTTTAGGATTGGGTTTCTGATTCCTTCTAAAGACTACTTCAACTCTATACTACTAACATCTGAAATCTGAAATCTTGTTCACTAATTATTTATTATTTTTTTCATCCTCAGTAGGAGTTTGTCTATTGTCTGGTTCATACCCTTTCCCTGTCTTTGGAACAGGAGTAGAGGTTTATCCCTTGTTTCTTGTTTGGGACTGAATTTCCAGTTCCTTCTCCTAAATTCTCTTCATTCTCTTTCACTCCCAGTAGCTACTTGCATCTTGTTTTAATCATTTCACCTCAAGCAAGGCAATAAAGCCACTAAGATGCAAGGGGTTACTAAGTCTTAGAGAATATGAAAAAAGCTACTATTAAGGTGAGCAGGCAATAAAAGAACAAGAATTAAAATTAAGATAATGGTTGACAACTGCATTTGAAATCTTAAAAGATCAATGTTGACTGGGAGGCAAGAAACTGGAAGAGAATTTCACAAGGAAGAAGTGTGAGAGAAGAAACTGTTAGCATAGAACTTACAGTCTATATTGATCAAGCCATTCCAACTGTAAAATGACGAGACCTTGCTACCAATCTAGTATTGTGCTTAAATTCATAAAGTCTAGCTACCATAGAGGAACATTCATCAGAACAATTACCACGAAAGTAATGATATTATCGCCTTCCTTGGGGTGAAATGTTTAAAAAAAGAAAAAAATGTGCACTGACGTATTTAATGTGTAAAGTAATTTTTTTACTTTAATCAACAGGCTACAGGCATATTGATCTCCCTATGTATAATGTGTAAGCACACTACAGGCATATTGATCTCCCTATGTATAATGTGTAAGCACACTACAGACATATTGATCTCCCTATGTATAATGTGTAAGCACACTACAGACATATACTACAGTTCAAAAGTTTGAGGCCCCCCCACCTGGTCATTTTTTAAATTGGCCCCAAAAGTATTTTTTCTTTAAACAAGAGAAATTTATTATACATGATCAAAAAAAAAAAGTGAAACATGATTTTTTATTAGAAATTTTATTATGAAAAAAAGAAAAAAATGCATTTTATGATTAAATTTTGCTCTCATCAAAATATCCACCTTTAGCCTTGATTACTGCAGCATAAATTTTCAGTATTCACTGCAAAAGTTTCTCAAAGTATAAATTTGATAATTGATTCCATTCTTTTTTCAATGACTCTAAGAGTTCTTTTTCATTTTTTTTTTTTTCACTCTTCTGTTAAGTTCATCCCATAATAATTCTGGGGGTGGCTTCAAACTTTTGAACAGTAGTGTATATAGGCTACAAAGATATTGATGTGCCTATATAAAATGTGTGTAACCAGTCTAGAGACAAATTGATGTACCTATGTATCCATGTATATTTTCTTTTCACAGGTTGAATCTGTTGCACATATTTTTACTTCAATTTACCAAAAAGAAATAATTCTCATTTTTGTTAAATTTGGAGAGTTCAATCACAGAAGAATACATAATTTCTTTACTTACCCTCCAGGTGCTGCCATTCCTCCACCTTTAAAAAAAATAATAGAGATAATTATATTTCTTGATACATTAAGAAAAAAAGTTTCTTGAATAATATATATATATATATATATATATATATATATATATATATATATATATATATATATACATACATTTTTCTATATTACTATAAACATTACATTTAATTTTTTACATATGTTTGAGCAAGCATCAATATTTTTATCTCATTTTTTTATAACTGTAAAACTGACACAACTGACCTGGGTAATGGGAAATCTATAAAAGAAAATGAACTTCTTGGTATTCACTTTGCTAGGGAAGAACAGACTCAAAGTTAGACATGATTTAACCACTCAGCCATAATAAAAGGAATGCAGGTTCAATCCCAAACCAAGACTGTTTACTCAGACATATGTATGCCCTAAATATAATGTCTATAGCCATAAGAGATAATGTTGGATTTACAAAATCCAACAATTGCTTAAAAATTAACAACAAAAATATATAATATATATGCAAAAAACATAGGAATTTGGATTTGGCACAATAAGTCAACAGCCAGCAAAATAAAATCATTACTGATTATAGACAAGATAAAAATGCAGGCTAAAAGTCTGGTGAATTTAAACACAGCATGCAAATGTGGATTTTCTGGAACCTCACTTCAGGATAATCCTATCATGTTATAATATATATATATATATATGGAGCAAAGGGAATTTTTAATGGCTGCTTTAATAATGCATCGCTCTTTGTAAGAATTGAGCACTATGGCAGTTGGTATGGCGTTTTATGTGTATAATGTGTTAAAAAATTCCCTTTTTCTGCCATGTGCTGATAGCCTCGGGGTAAGAATCTCTGATCCCATCTTAACATCAAGAAACTGATTAGACAACTGGAAGGGATCACTATAAAAATAAGTAGACACAATATATATATATATATATGTGTGTGTGTGTGAGTGTGCGTAAAAATTTCAGGTAGAGTATATCTGTAAAAGGACAATATCAATAAAGACAAAAGGTAAACTTATTTTAGCTGACACATTTTGTCCTCTGAGGAACTTTATCAAAGCAAATGCAAGGATTTTGATTTGCAACATGTATATACAGGAGCAAAAACGTTATTGGGTTTTCAAAATTATTTCAGCTAAACCGATGAATATTTATCAGCTTTCCTATACTTAAAAATTTTGAAAAAACCAGTAACATTTTTGCTCTTGTCTATAAATACATGTTACAAAATAAAATCCTTGCATTTGCTTTGATAAAGTCCCTAAAATAGATGAAATATGTTGGCTAAGATAAGTATTCCCATATATAATCATTTCAAAAAGTTACAAAATATATTTCTTGTGTGTTTCTATGTGAAGCATTTCATTCTTAGGAATTGGAAAAAAGTTGCACAAGTAATAAAACCAATTCTAAGAAAGGAGCAGATTGTTTCTGCTACATATTTTTATGACATTTATCTCCATCTTAATTGTTTGTAACACAATTTTTTCAGCCAATATGTTCTTCACCTAAGGTGTATGTTAATGGCATCAGATGGTCTTCAGAAGTTACTTCTCTTTCCAGATTTCCATCTCAACTGGTTTCACACTAATGCAACTCACATAAGACCTTAACACTCAGTCCTCTGATTCTTTTATACTATGATGTTGGTAAACTGAAAGAAGCAAGAAAAAATACGAAGTAACTTTTAAAGACCATCAGATGCCAGATATCCTTAATGAAGGCCGAAATATTTATCAGCTGAAGTATTGGACTAAAAACAACAAAAATGAAGATAGCTTTAAAAAACATAAAGGAAGGAAAATATTTCATTTTAAAATATCAGTCATGTTCAAATAATATACTGTGATAAAAACAACAACGATGATGACAAGATATGAAATACAAACAAAATATTCATAACAGACTTTCAGACCATGTAGAAGGGCTCTAAAATACATGAAATGAAATGTGATGTCAAAAAACAATAAAGATGAGGATAACAATAATTTTTTTTTGAAGAATGAAAGTAGTTAATTCTAAAAGTTCATAAAATAAAATCTTTTTATTAATCTAAGTTGAGATGATTGCAGTTCTACACCTCGATTATGTACAAGAGAAAATCTCTGCCATAGTTTATGAGTGGATTTTGTTCACTCAGTATAAAGAAAAAAATTATTTTATTGCAAGAAGTTTGGATTTCAATTATTTAAATATCATGGATTGAATTACTTTTATCAATTTCTTTATAAAATCTGATGGATCTCTCTATCTTCATCTATTCATTATCTATCTATCTATCTATCTATCTATCTATCTATGTCTATTCATTATCTATCTATCTATCTATCTATGTCTATTCATTATCTATCTATCTATCTATCTATCTAGGTCTATTCATTATCTATCTATCTATCTAGGTCTATTCATTATCTATCTATCTATCTATGTCTATTCATTATCTATCTATCTATCTATGTCTATTCATTATCTATCTATCTATCTATCTATCTATCTATGTCTATTCATTTTCTATCTATCTATCTATCTATCTATGTCTATTCATTTTCTATCTATCTATCTATCTATCTATGTCTATTCATTTTCTATCTATCTATCTATCTATCTATGTCTATTCATTATCTATCTATCTATCTATGTCTATTCATTTTCTATCTATCTATCTATCTATCTATCTATGTCTATTCATTTTCTATCTATCTATCTATGTCTATTCATTATCTATCTATCTATCTATCTATGTCTATTCATTATCTATCTATCTATCTATCTATGTCTATTCATTTATCTATCTATCTATCTATGTCTATTCATTTATCCATCTATCTATCTATCTATGTCTATTCATTTATCTATCTATCTATCTATCTATCTATGTCTATTCATTTATCTATCTATCTATCTATCTATCATATCTATCTATCTATCTATGTCATTTTTTCTATCTATCTATCTATATCTATCTATGTCTATTCATTATCTATCTATCTCTATTCATTTATCTATCTATCTATCTATCTATGTCTATTCATTATCTATATCTATCTATCTATGTCTATTCATTATCTATGTCTATATCTATCTATCTATCTATCATTATCTATCTATCTATCTTCATCTTCATGTCTATTCATTATATCTATCTATCTATGTCTATTCACCATCTATCCATATATATCTATGTCTATTCATTTTCTATCTATCTATCTATGTCTATTTTATTCATCTATCTATCTATCTATGTCTATTCATTATCTATCTATCTATCTATCTATGTCTATTCATTATCTATCTATCTATCTATCTATGTCTATTCATTTTATCTATCTATCCTATCTATCTATCTATGTCTATGCATTTTCTATCCATATCTATCTATCTATATCTATTCATCTATCTATCTATCTATCTATCTATGTCTATTCATTCATTATCTATCTATGTCTATTCATCTATCCATCTATCTATCTATGTCTATTCATTATCTATCTATCTATCTATGTCTATTCATTTTCTATCTATCTATCTATCTATCATTTATCTATTCTATATATATCTATCATTATATCTATCTATCTATGTCTATTCATTATCTATCTATCTATCTATGTCTATTCATTATCTATCTATCTATCTATCTATCTATGTCTATTCATTATCTATCTATCTATCTATCTATCTATGTCTATTCATTTTCTATCTATCTATCTATCTATCTATGTCTATTCATTATCTATCTATCTATCTATCTATGTCTATTCATCATATCTATCTATCTATCCTATCTATGTCTATTCATTTATCTATCCATCTATCTATCTATCCATGTCATCCATTTATCTATCTATCTATGTCTATTCATTATCTATCTATCTATCTATCTATCTATCTATGTCTATTCATTTTCTATCTATCTATCTATGTCTATTCATTTTCTATCTATCTATCTATGTCTATTCATTTTCTATCTATCTATCTATCTATCTATGTCTATTCATTATCTATCTATCTATCTATGTCTATTCATTATCTATCTATCTATCTATCTCTATTCATTATCTATCTATCTATCTATCTATCTATGTCTATTCATTTTCTATCTATCTATCTATGTCTATTCATTTTCTATCTATCTATCTATGTCTATTTATTATCTATCTATCTATCTATGTCTATTCATTTTTATCTATCTATCTATCTATCTATCTATTATTTTCTATCTATCTATCTATGTCTATTCATTTTCTATCTATCTATCTATCTATCTATGTCTATTCATTTTCTATCTATCTATCTATCTATCTATCTATCTATGTCTATTCATTTTTATCTATCTATCTATCTATCTATCTATTCATTTCTATCTATCTATCTATTCTATGTCTATTCATTTTCTATCTATCTATCTATCTATCTATCTAGGTCTATTCATTATCTATCGATCTATCTATCTATGTCTATTCATTATCTATCGATCTATCTATCTATCTATCTATCTATCTCTATTCATTATCTATCTATCTATCTATCTATCTTATCTATCTATGTCTATTCATTATCTATCTATATATATATATATATCTATCTAGGGCTATTCATTATCTATCTATCTATCTATCTATGTCTATTCATTATCTATCTATCTATCTATGTCTATTCATTATCTATCTATCTATAACTATTCATTATCTATCTATCTATCTATCTATCTTATCTATCTATCTATGTCTATTCATTATCTATCTATATATATATATATATATATAGGTCTATTCATTATCTATCTATCTATCTATGTCTATACATTATCTATCTATCTATCTATCTATGTCTATTCATTATCTATCTATCTATCTATCTATCTATCTATCTATCTATCTATGTCTATTCATTATCTATCTATATGGGGAAAATGTATGACAAAATGGGAAGAGTTTACTTGTAAATGTTTCATCCTTCAGGACTTCATTAGACTAAGTCTGATGAAGTCCTGAATGACAAAATGAATCACAAGATAACTTTTTAAAGATATTAGCTTTTATAGAGAAAGAAAATTTTTAAATATGAAGATAAATATATATTGTGTTTTCAAAAACATATACACATAATTAGTTTTATTAGATAAAAGTTAATTGAACATTTTTCATTAACAAGATTATTACTATTACTATTATTATTATAAAGTTGACAAAGAAAACCATTTGATGTTTATGCTTAAATGACACTTTGTTGAAAGTATTCAATATATTTTCAGAAAAAATATTCCAAAGCAAATTAACTTTCAAGACATTTTTGGTGCAGACATTCAAAGAGAATTGCCTGCTCAATAGCAAGGAATAAATTAGTTGTTTATTAGACCATTTATTTTTTATTGCAAAAATAAATTTCCATTAAAAACCATAACAAATAAAGTGTGTATGTGCAATGTGCATGCATACATATGCCAACTTTCCCTGACGATCCGTTTAGGTGAAACCTAGGTAGGTTTGTCTGGCTCACTAGGTTTATCTAGGTCTGCTCTACGGTTGTATTGAGCTCTTTTGTTAGTTAGTTGTTTACTCGTATCGGGTTTTTTTCTTTGGGCTTCAAACCTGTATCTGTGCAATTTTTTTCGACAGACTTTCATGTTTCCAGCTTTTTCTTTTTTTAAAACCTTTTTTTCCCTCAAGATTGATTCAAAAATTCAACAGTTTTTTCGAAAAGAGTATAGTTATCTATATATATATATATATATATATATAGAGAGAGAGAGAGATAGATAGATAGATAGATAGATAGATAGATAGATAGATAGATAGATAGGTAGGTAATTATGTATGTATGTATGCATGTATGTAAAATTTCAGGTATATCTAAAAATATATCTTTAAAAGGACAATATAAATAAAGACAAAAGGAAAACTTATCTTAGCTGACATGTTTTGTTCATTGGTGGACTTTATCAAGGCAAAGCTGAAGGTTTTATTTGGCAACAAGTATTTATAAACAAAAGCAAAAATGTTAGTTTTTCAAAACTTTTTAATTTAAGAGATATTCATCATGTTAACTGAAAATTATGGAAGATACTAAGTGACATAATTTAATGTCTCGTAAATGACAGTGAGTAAATGATATTGTTAAATCTTTTTCACTTTCATTTATATTAGACATTAAATTAGGTCAATTAACATCTTCCATAATTTACAGAGACTAAAGTGAGTAAACGATGTTGAATTTTTAAATATTAATTGCATAAAAAGAAAAAGATTTAGCAATATCATTTACTCATTTATTAGACATTAAATTATGCCACTTAGCATATTAAAATACTCACTCCTACACACATACACAGACACACACTCACACACACATAAAGACAAGGAAAACTTATCTTAGTTGACATGTTTTGTTCTTTGATGGACGTTAAATGAAAAGACTAAATAAATTATGGAAGATGCTAAGTGACATAATTCAATGTCTAATAAATGACAGTGAGTAAATGATGTTGTTCAATTTTTTTTTATAATGTAATTAATACTTATATTATTTTAGTTTGGGATACATTTATGTACTATATATTTGTTATAGTGGAACACACCTGTTCTATAGTTAACAGACACTCAGTCAGTATTCCAAAAAAAAAGGAATGTGCTGTTTGCTTCAGTTGAACAGATAGATAAAGAATTGGACAGATTAGAGAAAACCGGGGTATTTAAAAAAGTTGAATGGGTAACACCGATGATATACGTGAAAAAAAAAGCTCCAGAAAGTAAAGATGAAGCCAACACCGAGAAAAACTGGGGAGCGAGTTACCCGCAACCAAGGACATGTAGTATTATTAAATGATTTAAGTCAACTGAAGTTACTACAGAAAACGTTAAGAAGCACAAGATCAACAAAAGGGAAGCTAGAGGCTGAACAAATAGAACCACAAGAAGAACCTACAGAGACTCTCCCACCTATAATAAGTAGGAGTCTATTAACTATAGAATAGGTGTGTTCCACTATAACAATATTTGAAATAAAAGGTAACTATAAATTTAACTGTTTTCTTTTAATTTTATAACATTTTTATAATCATGTATGTTGGCTTAGGATAGGAGTAATTCTTTCAGGACCTAACTATATATATATATAAATATATATATATATATATATATATATATATATATATATATATATATATGATGTATCTAGGCATTCAAACAAGTTTTGTTAACAACACTAGTCATGTTATGTCTATTATATTTTAAATAAGTTTTTCTCATTATATACAGGATCTGATTTTAAAATGGTATTACCACATTAAAAACAAATCCACAAAATAATACCAATATTGTTTATGAATTCACTTGCCCTATTGAACTTTGCATCTCTGAAAATAGCAAAATATTCTCTTATATAGGATATAAAACCAAAACACTATCTTATAGATTCACTTGTCATAACTTCAACCAAAGTACAATATGTCAACATATGATACAAAATCATAAAAATGACAATAACATAAGCAGCTACTTGTAAATAATACACTAATACTGTAAAAAAAAACAAATTATAAATAAAGATTAAAAAATTTAGAATCTGTTCATATTAAGCTGAAACAAATAGCAATAAAAGAACCTATGATTCTGTAATAATATTCTAAAAGAGATTTAAATTCTCAAAATCTACACTATGGACATAGTCAGATAATGCCAAATGATTTCAAATCTTAAAGAATAACATCACACTCACATAACAACACAAACATTTCAAACTCAAAATTCAAAACTCTATTGTGGTAATAAAATAAGCACATCCCATATCCCACTCTTGCTTCTAACCATGCACTATAATAAAATAGTTTTCAGCACTAAAGCTGAATTAGTCAAATAAAGCTTCATAAGATTCTACTTAAGAGTTGTTGCTATATTACAAATACCAAAGATGTAAACTATGACACAGTCTTTTAATTTCATTGAAATGCTTTCTTTTTTCAGAATGACTGAAGCCAGTTGAAAGCTCAGAACATTAACAAAGACTAATACAAACTGTGGTACCTTCAACAACAAGAGCTAGGAACTAATCTTCTGCCAACAAAAAAGAATTATAAAAAAATGTAATAGACATAACTTCTATGAGTAGGTGGTCATATGCAAAATACATATGAATACTCTATAGTGTAAGCAAAAACAGTGGTCAATGTGAAGTAACAGAGCTATTTAATATATATATATATATTAAGAAATATACATAATATCTTACATAATTTGGTAATTAATTTATATAAATAAAAATAAATATAATATTTCCAGTACTTAAAAATTTCTTCAGCATAAAACCCAAAGTTAATGTCAGATATTATGTATATTATATATATATATATATATATATATATATATATATATATATATATATATATATGAATAGATAGAATAATAATATATATATATATATATATATATATATATATATATATATATATATTGATATATATATATATATATATATATATATATATATATATATATATATATTGACCATAATATTATCTATATTAGTGGTCAATATATATATATATATATATATATTGACCATATATATATATATATATATATATATATATATATATATTGACCACTAATATTATCTATATATATATATATATATATAATATATTGACCACTAATATTATCTATATCATATATATATATATATATATATATATATATATATATATTTTGACCACTAATATTATCTATCTATCTATCTATATATATATATATATATATATATATATATATATTGACTACTAATATTATCTCTCTCTCTCTCTATATATATATATATATATATATATATTGACCATAATATATATCTATATATATATATATATATATATATATATATATATTGACCACTAATATATCTATCTATCTATCTATCTATCTATATATATATATATATATATATATATATATATTCTGTTTTCTTTTTGAATTTGTAGATCTGATGAATTGGATTGTGACTACAATTCCAATGTAATAAATTATAACCATGGAATATTACTGCTTGAGCCTTTTATATTATGTTCTTACTCTGTCCTGGAGATTGAGTTCTACCTGGATTCTATCCTCTTGGGAATTTATATATATATATATATATATATATATATATATATATATTGACCACTAATATTATCTATCTATCTATCTATCTATATATATATATATATATATATATATATATATATACTTTATTATAGGATATTACATTCAAACATATGTAAAACCGCTACATAAATGCATTCATGTTTCAATGCATATGATTGCATCTCATCAGGTGGTAGTAAATGAGGGTTATTCTTTGTTATATGTTTGAATGTAATATATTTCTATAATAAAGAATATTGCTCTACTATAGTATTGAGCACACTTTTTAAATTAATGTTGTGAATGTTTGAATTTATATTTAATTCATTCACATTTCATTTGGAGATATATCTTTATATATATATATATATATATATTATTTTATTGTTATATATTTGTTTTATTGTTATATATATATATATATATATATAATCGACTCTCCCGTCGCGTTCAACGTATGAGGGTCAGGCCGATAAGTCCCAAGGAAACCAACATCCCGACACCGGCACATGAGATTTGTTTATAGTGGTGAAGGCCTTGTGCAGGACCAGCCACACTTTTTGGAGGGACGAATACAGAAACCTGGTGCACCGAATGCATGCCACAAGGTTCCCAAACGACCCTCCGCAGGTTTTGAATTCAGAGTTGTCCTTCTCCTAGACCAGTTGCCATCCAAGGCTATAGAACCCAGTCTGTCCTGCTATTTTACCCATAGCTGGAGGGAGATGAAGAGGATACATACCTTTCCCAAGGGTATTAGCAGCGTAAGTGAATGTAGTGGATTCGACTGGAATTAGAACTCGGCTCTGCGATTCCTCAATCCAAGCTGCTATCCACTGCTCCACCGTGCCTCCGATATATATATATATATATATATATATATATATATATATATATATATATATATATATATATATATATATATATATATATATATATATATATATATTGTTTGTCCATCTGTTGCTTAATATATTGTACAGTAATTGAAATCTTGATACTGGCTTATGTAACCCTAAAGCTTAGATTGGATTAAAGGATATGGATCAGTATTGTGATTTTCTTTCTTCTTTCAATGATAATGTTATTAAGCTTATCAGACAATATGAAAAGATCTTACTTAAAATAAATAGACAAAACTTGTCTATATTATTTAATGAAACATGCATCAATATATATATATATATGTGTGTGTGTGTGTGTGTGTGTGTGTGTGTGTGTGTGTGTGTGTGTATATATGTGTGTGTGTGTGTATATATGTATATATTGTATAATAAATGCAAACAGGGGGTTATAAAGACAGTGCTCAATGCAAAATATAAAAAGTATGTAAAACAGAGCCAATATCAAATATAAGTCAAGAATACTTAAGTTACTGCTTTACACAACTAAAAGCTTCATGTGGAGAATTAAATGTTGATGTCTCACAATACGCTGATAGCCAGAGTAATGAGCTAATCAGTTCCTTAATGAATAACAAGGTAATAAGCAACTCTTGCCTTCTAAGTTTCCACCTGAAACTTTAAGTCATGGAAAGCATTAACATGAATATTGTTTTTTATATATATATATATATATATATATATATATATATATATTTTAATTGAGTTAACCCTGTGCAAGGGGTTATTGGGTGTAGAAGAGTTCGAAACAAAATCATTATTAAGGGGAGAGAACAAAAGAAGAGTAATCAGGAAGATAATAGATAGCTATTGACATTGCATTTAAATTTTTGGAGATTAAAGTTGGCTGGAAAGCATGTAGCCAGAAAGGAGTCCCACAAGCGAGAAGTGCGAGAAAAGAAACAGTTAGTGAAGAATTTACGGCTACATCTAGCCAGCTCAACTGTTAATTGATCAGATCTCGACACCAGTCTAGTGCTTTGCTTAAATTCAAAAACCCTAGGTACCATAGTGAAGAGCTCATCTGAACAATTATCATGAAAGTATTTATAGAAATGCCAAAGAGTAGTAACCTTATGACAGTGGGAAAGTGTCTGAAGTCAAGATGTATGTGTGTTGGTTTATGTGTGTGTACAAACAAACTTATCTATATTTCTTGTGACCATAATAATAATAATAATAATAATATGTGTGTGTGTGTGTGTGAAAATATACTCATAGTCTAATGATAAAAGCATTTATTTTAAACAACAAATATTTATTTTTCAACATAATCTCTTTCCGTGTCAATGCACATAAGTTTATGGTTCTCCATAAATAATGCAATTGGAAGAATATATATATATACATAGATTATTTCAAATCAAAAAAAAATTAAAATTTTTTAGTTGAAATGCATTTAAATTTACAAAAAAACAAAAAACAAAAAACAAAAAACAAAAAACAAAAAACAAAAAACAAAAAACAAAAAACAAAAAACATACTCCCAGCTGCAAAAATCCAGTACAACATATTATACTACTTCCTCTCTTTTTTTTTTTTGTCTTCTTTTTTCTTTCATTAAAGGAATCCAAGGAGAAGGCTGTTGCTCATAACTTTGTAATGGTTGCCTGGTTACCAAATGGAAAAGAAAGGTCTGCAATTTTTAATTCTTTTTAATACTGTTTTCAATTTATTCTTGAAAAAAAGAGCTTAAAGTTGACACTTTTACAAGCAGGGTTCTTGTAAATGTGAAGTTTCTGATTCTTTTTATTTGGAGCAGAAGCCATTTCTGAAAGTACTCTGTACACAGAATCTGACAATAAGACCAACTGGTAAAATTATCCGAATTAATATCAGGTTGCTCAGTAAATCCAACAAAGATTATTTTTTAGAACGTGTGTCGGATTTTCTTTTCTCTTCATTTCTTGGAATATTCTAAGCACAAGTAAATGGTCTATATCCTGGCACAAGATACTTGGAGATATTTTGAAACAAAAATGTCTTACAAATCAAATACGTTTTCTGTATGATTTGGAATTCATGAAGAAAGCAATACCGACAAAGCATTTATTTATAATGGTTGTCTGCCAGAAGAAAGCAAGCATCCTAGAATTTCCATGTTTTTTTCCCCACAAAACCGTAATCTTTTTGTTGGCATTTAGCCACTGAAGAAAAAGTCAAGAGTTAACGAATGCTTGCTTTGCAATTTTAAACAAAGCAATATCTCCTGACAGTCAGTAGATGACGCAATGCAAAGGAAAATAAATAAACAAGTGTTTAGCATCTGTGTGCCCATCTTTGGCGATAGTCTGATTATATCAACATGTATCAATGTAACTCACCTTTAGTGAGTTATCACGAGTAAGAACAATGTCTGTAACATTTCGATAATACTCAATGCGTCTCTATTCTCCATTTTCCATTTTCAGATAGAAACCAGATCCTTTCCAAGTTCTTCAGGATTCATAACATGCTCCAAACATTATCTGTAATTTTAGCACCCCAAGTAATTCAGTTATGAAGTCAGAAGATTAGCTCTAATCCTGATTTGAGTCATTTCACCTAATATCTTCATCTTTCTTGTTTTTAACCTATTAATGGTGACCATAAAATCCGGTTTGAATTATAAAACTAAAAATTTGGTATTAATTATAGGTTTATAAATCTGGATAAATTTATAAAAATCCAGTATTAATTATTATAACTTTCTACTTATAAATTATTAATGCCTACTCCTGTATTTTTAGGATGGTGAATATTTTTTGTTTTTTACAGTGATGGCCGCCCTGCATAAGGTCTGAGAGCCACTCAAGGTAGAGCGTTACAGAGTAAGAGGCACTGTCTATATGGATATGTGTGAAAGATTATATTTAATCCTAGACTTGAACAGGTTCAGATTGTAGTGATCAGGAAAGCACTCTCTTGGTGCGGCTGTGCACAGGCAGAAGCTGCTTGAGTGGAACTAATATCTCACAGATGGAATATGAAGGGGATGAGGGTGACTCACAACAATGTGTATAGCATAGCAGGTCCTAGCCATGAAGGTTAGAACTGGTAAAATTAAGGAATGTAGTTCATCGGAGCACTTTCCATGGAAATAATGATAGAACAGTGAAAGGCTTTTGAAGTTTTTTTGCATGCATTTTTCAAAATTAATTTATAATCTCACATTGGGTCAAGGAGGACTTTCTCTCCCTGAAGGGTTTTATTATATATTCAATTATAAGAAGAAGAATAATGAAATTAACCCATAATTACATAAATTTGACTATTTACATTATTTGAATTATTGTCCTCATCTTTGTTGGCATATTTATTACAACGTTTTGGCCGTTGTATGCTCCGGCCTTCTTCAGGTGGTTGGAATATTGAACTGAACCCTTTATTTCGCTCACTGGGGTAGACTGTTCTAGTTCCACGTGCCATGTTTAATGAATGTCAGTTCTCAGTTATCTCCTGTTAATTCCCCTCTCCAAGTTCTCTACTACTTTAACCAGGTATTGAACTCACCCTCTTTTGGGTCCTGTCACTGGATTTAACCAACACCTTTATCCACTGTGCTATGTGTCCTTGAATAAAGGCGTTAGTTAGATCCAGTGACAGGGCCCAAATAGTGTGAGTTCAATACCTGGTTAAGGCGATTGGATTTACATTTGTTGAGGCGGAGAAGGAATTAGCCTCCAAAACAGTAACAAAAATAACAAGGTTCTGTCTTCCAGGTTAATCATTTCTGCCATTACAACAATGCCAGGGTTAATAGTTGTTGCAGAGATTTAGTAATTTCTATCACTGGCCCAAATGTATGCATAAGGGCTTCTCACATAAAAAAAAACAAAAAACAAAAAAAACTTGTGTCACATAATTCCTTAGTGAGGAGGTCAGGTATATAAAATCTTAAAATTTTTTAACTGAGGTTTTTCTTTGGGCAAATTCCTCTTTTTCACAACATTTTTGGTAGATTTGTTCATTGCTTGAAGAACATAGTATATAAAAATGTTATGAAAAAAATGCTGAAAAACAGACCAAAGAAATGGCAACCTACGAAAAAAAAAAAAAAGAAAAACTCAGTAAATTTAAGAAATAAGAGGAAACTACTTGCACTTGGTGAAGTGAATTATAAAAGGAAAGAAGGAAGTAAGATACAGTGTAACTCGGATATAATAGACCCGGATATAAGAGAAACCCGGATATAAGAGAAATTTTCTCTGTTCCCAAATTAGAGCTTGTGTTAATGTATATAAAACAGACCAAACCCGGAGAAAAGAAACTTCTTCTCCGGTCCTGACAACTCTCTTATATCCGGGTTACACTGTACAGTGTAACCCGGTTATAAGAGACCCGGATATAAGAGAAACCCGGATATAAGAGAAACCCGGATATAAGAGACTTCTTCTCCAGTCCCGACAACTCTTTTATATCCGGGTTACACTGTATATTAAAGTGAATACAAAGGTTGCTTTTGAGGAGATACCAGACAGTAGCCACCAACTAAGGCCTTGTTCATGCACACAGTAGAAGAGAATAACCAGCAGCTGTTAACTAAACCTTTGCCCACGAACTCACAAACACATTAGGTTGACCGTCATAAAGTAAATCTGTCCACACATTCCACACCACACTACGAACACTTCATTACTTCATAAAACAAACTTCACTGCAAGGGAAATTAAACATATCATTTTTATTGCACATTTCTGAAAAGAATACATAAATATTATTTCAAATAATGTTCTGCTTCTGCTTTCTATTCATAAAATAACTTTTTTTATGTTTCATTTAAAACATGTGCTGCTGTTGTTTAATGTTTGGAATCCCGACACTCAGTAACAAAAACCTGGGTCAATGGATACCAACACTATCCTACACACAAGCTGCTAGTGGCCCTCTGGTGGGAGCTACTGGCAGGATACTGGTGAGCCTCTAGCAGTCCGCCAGTGGTAACATTGCCAAAACAAAAACATTGACAGTCTGACAGTGGGCCACCAGCAGTAAATGCTAGTGGCATACCACCCAGTGACAGATTGGTGGCTTGTGTGTAGAGTACCACCCTTATTGTAAAGAGCAGATAAGTGTCTGATCCATATATTGTCACTATTGTTGAATAATCATTAACAGTCACATGAGTCACAGAAGATAGGACCATCCTTCTTTGAACCTCATGGACTGGCACTACATAATCACAAACAAAGAAGTGTATCAAATTACAGAAACTACATCATTTGAAGACTTCCAACAGCTGCAACAACCCAAATGGATAGTACATGTAACTCAAAAGGAAAATAACAAAATAATCAAAATGTTAACACTACACACAACTTGAAAAATAAGGTTCAGAGGGAAAACTTCATTAATACTGGAAAGATCATTAACAGCTACTGGACTTAAAAAAACCTATTCTCCTGAAAACATGTTTAAACTTTTTTTTTAAATCATTTCAACCCACTAAGACAGGGTTACAAAATGAAATAATATAAGAAAAAGGAAAACACTATTAAGGAGAGAGAAAAATAAAAGAACAGAAACTAAGAAGATAACAATTAACATTGCATTTATATTTTTGAAGATCAAACTTGACTGGAAGGCAAGAAGCTAGAAGAAGTCCAAGCAAAGAAACTGTTAGCATAGAACTTATTGATATATCTAAGCATTTCAACTGTAAAATGTTAAGACCTTGCCACCAATTTAGTGCTGTACTTAAATTCATAAAGTCTAGGTACCATAGAGGAAAGTTCATCAGAATAATTACAATGAAAATATTTACAGAAAAGGCAGAGGGAATCTATATTATTTTGGTGGAAAATGACTGAAGCCGAGATTAATGATACTCTGCAGATTCTTCTTTGGATAAATTTCAACTGAGAGTATCATTTGATGCTTGGTCAAAGAATACCAAATGTTTGCATATAAAGAAAAACTAATATTGTCATTATCATTACAGATAAGAACAGATACTACACTTTGGCCTTAGCCTGATAGTCAGTGAGTGAAGAAGAGTGGAACTCAAGTAACACTGACTGCTCAGTCATTGAATGCCAAATGTTTCCTTATAAAGAAACGGCTAATATTATTATTACCATTGCCATAAGGAGTTAATAGAACTTTTTCATTTGGTACTAACATTCACCCAGCACAAGGCCCAAGAGCCACTCAAAGTAGAGTATTACTGTGTGGTGCTGTATGAATGAGTGTAAGAAAGGCAAGAAGTGAAAGTTCATGTGGTTACATAGGAAAGATAACATTTAACCCTAGACTCATAAAGGTCATGTTGTAACAATTGACAAAACATCCTATTGGGTCTCTGTCCCATAAAGTAGCAGTTTTTGAGAAGAAGCTGTTCAAGTAGAACTTATTTTTTGTATTATACTTGTTTTTCTGCTGTTAAATGTTATTTCCTTTAAAGATGTAAGCAATCACTGCTCTCCACAGATTCTCTTTTTTTGTTATTGGTGAATTTCCATGATTTCTTGGGAAAGATAATGAAATGGTTTCATATTATTTTTTTCTATGGTTTTCTCCTCCGAAAACTGGCTGCAACTCAAAGCTCAGTCTACTCTGCTCTTTAACCCATAGCTTGTGTGGAGGAAGGAGATATATATGCTGTTCCCAACTACATTAGTACAATGGGAATACCAGAGATTAGGACTCTGCTCTCTTGATACCATTCTACATACCAAGAACCATTATGTTTCCTGTAAAATCTTATTACATTGGCATTAATAAAATATAAAGCATCCAATTGTGTGCAAGTGTGTTTGTATAAAGAATTGAATATCATTTTTTCTGTCTTACAAGACACTTTTTTTCCTAAAAAATACCCTGAAAAATATATGTGCATCTTCCATGATGAATGTAATTCAATGCCCAGGCTCAAGTAAGCTTGGACAGTCACCTAATTAGCTTGAGTGGATTTCTCTGTTGAATCATTATACTATAATGTTAGCTATCTAATTCAGCCGTTTATATGATGTAACCTCAGTATTTAGCTGTTACAAGTATCTCCAAGACTATAAACCTTCCTGGAGCCAAGCCACAAGCTTAAACATGCTCTGTTTACTAGCAGCGACGGAAGCCTTTCTTCTCTTGACTAGTACGTCATTTCCATAGAAACATAATTGCTGAGTGACTAATGTAAACAATACGTGGCGCCAGTATGTGAGAAATGCATGGTGATGTGTTGTATGAAAATTACTTTTTTTTTTTCTTAGAAATTTGTTTCCAATACTAGGGTGCGTCTTCCAAGATGCAGCATCTTGTAAAGCTGGAAAATATGGTAATTTTTGTTTTTAAATTTGTTGCATGCAAAAGTATCCAGTGAAAAGTAGGTTTTCAGTCTTGTTTTTAAAGAGGGAACTTTTGTACAAACCTTCATTTTCACCAAACAGAAGTAGTCCCCACTTATTTTCCTGACTTTCCTTACCAAAAAAAAAAAAAAAAAAAATAAGAAAAAGGAAAAAAAAATGGAAAACGAAAGGCCGTCAAAAATACTTTAAAACTTACGTATTCCGTACGGAATGCTGTATTAAAGAAAACACAGCAAATTCTACAAAACAAATAATCTTTATAAATTTTTACTTTCCTTTTATTTTTATAAATGGCATTCATGACGTTTGAAATAAAAAATCTGCAGTAAGTCGGTTTGCGTGACGTCATCTTAGAGCGATATTTTCGTTTCTTCTACATTAAAAAAAAAAGGTTTTTAAAAATCTGTTATCGGATTTAAAGGATTTATGTATTCATTTTTTAATTCATTCCGAATCATTAAAATTTACGAGGATATTATAAGGTCAATTCCTGGATCAGCTGGGACAGAGACTCAGTGGAAATATTACAAGATATCTCCTTTACCAAAACAAGATCTCTTAAACACGGACAATATAGAATGAGAAAAAATCTACACCGTAGATTGAATAAAAAGGATTAGATTCGAAATTCCCTAAAGGCTATCCGGATCATCAAACACTAAAAGAAGTCGAGATGGTACAAACGAAAACATTGTGATAGTAAGAAACAAAGTTAAAGAAGGCCATTTTGGGTGACAGAACGAATTTCAACTCGGAACCTCAAACAAAGGAGGTAATAATTTGCATTTCAAGTCTAGCGCTCAGTTTCTAATAAAAATTGCCGAATAGTTCCATTTAGAGATGTAAATGTTCATGTTTAATTCGAAAATAACAAAGAAATTTTGATAAAATCTACCGTTTTGGAGTTATCGATAATAAAAATTCGAACTCATTCGCGTCGCGGTGGATGAAGTGAAATTAATTCTGCACCCCGCCATTTTTAGTCCGACAGGAGAATTTTTACCTCCTCAGAAATTAACAAAGAAACTATTATTTCCAGATAGAAAATTCGTAATATCTAAATAAATATCTTTTATATAGTTAATAATATCGTTCACGTTCTTTTCTTTCTTTTATTTTGTAAAATAAATTGCTGTGTATTGAAGAATATCAAAATTCAAACTGAATCAATTTTTCAACAAAAACAAAACCTTTTTAGGTTTTGTTTTTATTCTCTAATGTAGATAAAATGAAAATTAATGACATTAAACTTATTTTTCTTTTTTATACGCTGTCCTTCCAAAAAAATTGAATTAAATAAATGACTTTTAAATATTTTCTGGCTATTATAAACAAATAAAATAACTGGACTTTATAAATTAACAAACAAGAATAGTTTAAGTCTTCTAATTATTATTAACGCCGACTGCCCCAAGCAGTCAGTAACGAACACCCAGAAAGAAATTGCCAACATACTCCACGTCACTCGAAATCACGATTTTTCCCGCGCAAAGGTACATCAACGTTGACTCACTCACAATTAAAACTCAACCAACTCTGTGGATATCGATTCTCAAACATTGCTTATCCAAAGTGAATTATATTCACTACCTATTAACTTAATAGGTAGTGAATATAATTCACTTTGGATAAGCAATGATGTTACTTAATAGTATTAAGTAACATCAATGTGCG